GTGGCCCGGTGAGCAGGTGGGCGGGCGGGCCAGCCCCTCTGAGGTGGTGGGAGGCCGGGCTAGGCACGCTGGTGCACACTGAGGCCATGTGCTCATTTTCCGACCCGAGACCAGGAGGAAAAGGCCATTTAGATCCCAACAATGTTGGCTTCCTGTGTTCCCGAGAGCAGGAAGCCACCCCAGGACAGCGTCCGGCAGCCCAGCTGGGGTGGGAGCCGCAGCCAAGGGCTGTGCGTGGGGTGCAGTTCTCCCCCTAGTGGGTACCCAAGGGCCTGTCCCCCAGGGGCTCTGCTCCCTCTCAGGCCACCACTGGCCCTGCCCTGTGGACACTGTGGACGTCCATGGGCAGGCCTGGGGCTCCTGGTGTCCTCGGAGCTGTGGTCACAGGCACTGCCCTGGGCCTCGCCTTGCAAGGGTGCGGGCTCTGGAGGGTGCTGTGGGGGTCTGGTTGCAAGGCCCTAGAGCTGGAAGGCCCCGGTCACCCCAAGACGTGTCCAGGGAGGGCCTGGGCACCTGAGGGACAGTGCCAGGGGAGGGTGCTGCCCGTTCCTACCTTGTTCTTCCCGCACCTGCTTCAGGCCCCTGGGGAGGGAGTGTCCTGCAGCCTCAGGCTGGGTGTTGCCTGTCAGCTGTCAGCGTGTGGGACAGACAGCTTCAGGGCTGGAACCCAGGTTTTTCCTTCTTGGCGGGAGGAAGAGGCAGGTGGCAACTGTGAGGGGCAGCGTCTCCGTCTGTTGTGCTTCTGAAACAAAATGCTTTAGGCTGGGTCGTTTATAAACAACGGAAGTTCATGGCCCACAGTTCTGGAGGCTGTAGGTCCAGGATCAAGGCACGGGCAGATCCTGTCTGGGGAGGCCTGGGCTGTTTCCAGAGCGGGTGGACGTTGAGATTGGAGGGATGGAAGGGCAACAGGCTGCCCAGGGCATTTCAGGAGGGCAGAACTCTCGTGGCCTGGCCACTTCCTGCAGGCCCCACCTCTTAGTACTGTGACATTGGGCCTTAGGATCCAGCTTGTGAATTCAGGAGGAACACAGCAAGGGGACAGCTGACCTTATACACGGGCTGCCACAGTGGAGGAGAGCTGGGGGCCCACCTGTGCAGGTGTTGTCAATCCGAGGGTTCTTTGGGGAAAGGCAGGTGCAGGAGTGTGAGACCACAGGGCCTGCGGGGGACCTGGCATCCGGACAGCCCTGGGCAGCTGCTCCGCCTCTTCCACGAAGGGCAGGTCTCGGTGTGTGGCTGGGTGTCTTCCTGGGGACTGAATCCTCTGAGCCACATCCCCACCCACCACCACTGAGCTACACCCTAAGTTGCTGAGGGCGGCCTCAAACTAGCAATCCTCCTGCCTCAGCCTCCCAAGTCTCTGGGATTACAGGGGTGTGCCTCTGTGCCTGGCTCCTGAGCTCTGGCCTCTAGATTCGTTCTCTGCGGCTGTGTAGAAAGCCATCCCCAAACTCAGTGGTTTATCGACTAGTTCTGGCTCAGGGTCTCTCAAAAGCTGGGCCAAGGTGCGAGCAGGCTGTGTTCATCTGCAGGCCTGGACGGTCCCTGCCCAGCAAGGCACCCTCACAGGCCTGCCCGGCTGGGGCTGGCTGGTGGCTCGGGGCCTCAGCTCCTCCCCACGTGGCTGCCCCACTGGGCTGCCCGTGCGTCCTCTCAACACGGAGACTGCCCTCCCCCAGGTGAGTCATCCAGGAGACTGAGGCTGCAGTCAGAGTGGCTTTGTGGCCTTGCCTTGGAAGTCACATGCCACATTTCTGCATATGTGTTAGTCAGAGTTCCTTCAGTCAGAGTTCCACTCAGGGTGACGAAAAACCGGAGGTGAATCAACGTGAAGGAAGACAGTTTAAGTCACTCGGCCCCGTTCTTTGGGCCAATGGGGGCACAGAGCATTGTGCCTCGTGCCATGGTCCCCATATCCTCATCAAGGGCATGCCCACATGACCCAGTGTCCTCCCACCACCTCCCAACTGTGCCACAGGGTGGGGACCACGCTATCACTACATGGATCTCAGGGGGACACCAGATCCAAACTGTAGCACTGATTGCAGTATCAGAGTGGGGGAGGCTGACAGAAAGGTGTGAGCTAGGAACAGAACGCTCCGTGACACACTTAGATAGTTCATTGCTCTGACAAGTGCTTGCCCATGCTTCAGATGACAGCACGAGGGAGACCAGGTAGACAGTAGGAAGCACTGCCCCTTGGGAGAAGACCTGAGAAGGTGATCAAGAATGCAAAAGAGGCACTCCTGGAGGGGACTCAGAGGGAAGGCCTCCTTGGGGTTGAGGGTAGGTGCTTCTGAAGATGGGGCTTGGTCACTTGGACCTGCTGGGAACCTGCCACTTGCCACTTGCCAGCTGAGCTTTAGGCGGGGAACTAGTGGAGGTCTTTCCTTGCCCCCTGCTATACACAGCCAAGGGCAGGCTGGGGCCACCGAGCACGCTGTACCATGATTGCCCAAAGATTTCTCCTCCTGGTTTCCACTTGAGGGCATTTGCTGACTGCCTGCCCCTCTGTGCCAGGCAGGCTGCCCTGTACAGTTGTGCAGGCTGGGCACCTCCAAGGGTGTCTGCTGGAGGGAGCCCTGGAATCAGCCCACGCTCTGCTTGTCATGTGGTGTGTCCTGGCACAGGGCGGGACCTGCCTGGGGAAAGGGTCCTTCTCTCCATTCCCACAGGGACAGAGCACACTCACCCCGGCTGTGTGTCATGGGGCTGGCCTGCCCAGATGGTGGGCCTTTGTCTAATTTGCACAAAGATGCTGTACAGTCCTTCAGATCTGAAGCAGACAGCGTCCTGGCTGTTGGGGACATGGTGTGAGGGACATGGGCACAGATCTATAAAAGAGCTACTGGAAATTACTGGAGATGATTTCAGATGGTGAACTGTGCAGAGAAGGAGATGATCAGGAGCTGACTAAGAACAGTGGCGACCTACTCGGATCTGGGCGGTTAGGAAAGGTCCTTTTGAGGAGATGGCTTTGAAAGGATTCCAGAGGGCAAGAGAGATTCCACCCAGTAGAGTGTGAGGAATGTCCCAGGCAGCTGGAGCAGCAAGAGCCAAGGGCCTGAGGTAGGAATGAGCTCGCTGATTTATGGGAACTGTCAGAAACACGGAGAGGCTAGAAGACCAGGTTCTGACCCCCCTGTGCCCCTGGTGTCTAGACTGGGGTTGAGAGGTGGACGTGAGAGATGCCTCTGACCATGAGATGTTGAGGGGGGCTACAGGACAGGAAGAGGCTGAGAGGGAGTGGGGTGGCTATCAGCACATACTCCAGGGATCTCCAGTCAGCTCCAACCCAAACATTTATGAAGCCTGTCCTGCGTAGCAGGTTTTCTGTGTGCATGTGTGTGGTGGTGGTGGTGGGGAGACAGAGAGGGAGAGGGAGGTGTCCCATTCTTGACAGAGCCCACAGCTGGCCAATGGGGAGGTCCCTGGATCTGGAGGCAGCGGCCCAGGGAGGGCCTTGCAGACTCAGGCCTCAAGGCTGAGGCTTTCTCAATTCCCTGTTCCCTGGCCACAAAGAGGGCTCGGGGGTGGGGCTGGGGAGCTGCTGGGGTCAGAGAGGGAACACCTTTCGAAAGGGAGACAGCTGCCACCTGGGGTAGGGGGACAGCTGAGAAGCCAAAGCGCTAGACCAGTGGGTGTGCCTTGGGTGGCCAAGGGGAATGTGTCCTGGTGTGGCCAGGGTGATGTCCCTGGCTGTTGGGGGTCAGGAAAGCCTTGCTCACCACCAGCTGAGTCACAGGCCTGAACTGGGCCAGGACTGGGTTGGGAGAAGATCCCAAGCTAGGGCCAGTGCCAAGGTCACATCCCAGGCTCCACCCAGTTTGCCTGCAGCCTCTCCCACCCTCGTCTCCCACCCTCACGCCCAGAGGATGCCTCAAACAAACCAGAGTCCCCAGGTGGAGAGCCCTAGAGCTTCTTGCCAGCCCCTGCCCGGGGCCTTCACCTACCTGAGACCCCCAGTGACCTTTTTCTGAGAATCAGGTGGGCTCCAAGTGGAGTGGGGCAAAGTGCCATAGACTGTGTGCTCGGTGGCCAGGGTAGTGTTAGCGTGGCCCTGGGCGGTGTGTGGCTGCTGGCCCTTTGGGTCTGAGGGTCTTCCCCTCTTTCCAGTGCCCCACCCACCTGCTTCAGTGTGTCTGGGGCAGACAAGACCCAAGTCAGCGCGGAAATCAGCCCAGGAGACCCCTCAGCCGGCTCCTGAGAGGAGGGGGTTTGCCAGATTCCTCCACGGAGTCCCAGGGCCCTGGGCGGGGGTTGGGGACATTCCAGGCTTTGGGAACCTGATAGGAAATTTGATTCCAGCTTCTGGTAGTGGGAGGGGTGGGGGCAAGTTGCGAGGGTGTGTGTGTGTGTGTGTGTGTGTGTGTGTGTGAGTGTGAGTGTGCGCGCGCTCCTGCGCATGGAGCCTGTTCTGTATCCCCAAATCTGTGCCAGGCCGGCGGACTCCGAGGGTCTCCACCAGACCGCCTGAGTGTTGGTGCCCGGTCAGAGGGTGGCATGGGTATGTGGGTGAGCCCTGTGTGCCCGGGCAGCGGTGCTGGGTGTGCCGGAGGGTGGCCGTCTGCGTGTGCGCACGGGCCCTCCGCCCGGGAGGGTGCAGTGCGAGGCCGGCGGGGTCTGCCCGCCCGCGGGGTGTAAGGCGAGACGGGCCCTTGCTCCGCGGCGGGGCTGGCACGGGGCCTGGGTCCCGGCTCCCTCGGCCCCTGGCCGGGGTCCAGCGGGGGAGCCGACGCCCGGGCCCGCGTTCCTCCGCCTCCCGCGCCCGCCCGAGGCCGGTCGTCCCGGGCGCCCGCCCGCAGGCCCGGAGCGCGGCCGCCGCCCCCTGCGCCCGCCCTCGGCGGGGCTCCCTCCTTCCCTCCTTCCCTCCTTCCCTCCTTCCCTCCTTCCCTCCTTCCCTCCGAGCGCCGGCCGGGGCGGGGTGGGAGGAGATTTCGCGGAGTTTCCATTTCATACCTCGCGGCTAAAACTTTCTTTCTGTCTGCCCTCCGCAGTCTGCAGCTTCTCCTGTCATCGGAAATGCCAGGCCAAGGTAAGGGGCGCCGGCGGGGCGGGGGCGGTGCCCGCGTCCCTCCTCCTCTCTTTGTTTATGCAAAGCGCCGGGGCCCGGGAGCGGGCGCAGGTCAAGGTGATGGCGAAGGCCGGGCGGCTGCGGGTGGAGGGGCGGGAGGCCGGGTGGCGGGCACCGCGCCTGCGGGAGGTGGCTGGCGGGACGGAGTCCGAGGGAGGGACCTCGAGGGTGCTTTCCTGGTTCTCCGCGGAGTCGGGGCGAACGAGGGGGCGATGCGCCTCATTTGCTGGCGGGCCTTGGGGAGCCCTAGCTGGCCCAATTTGGCCATCATGGGAAAATTCAGTGTCCAAGCCATAGGACCCGGAGGGAGGGAGAAGCGGGCAAGCCGGGGAGGTGGGGGACGGGGATGGAGGTCTGGATCGCGGCGCAGGCTCTTGGTACCGTCTGAGCCACTGTCCCACCCCTCCTCACGGTCACGCCCCACTGGAGCCCTCAGTTTCCAGCAGCGTTTCCTGGCTGGGCCGCTGAAGCTTGGAGACTGGAGCTGTGTCCTGGCTGCCCAGGCTCCTCTCAGGCCTGGACAAAGGAGCCATAGGTCGCTGCTTGGAGTATGGGGCTGCGGGGACCCCAGGGTGGGTTAAGAGTTCTGGAAGGAAACTGCTCAGGCTGCACTCTGCCAGGCCGACCTGCCTTTCCTTCCCACGCAGCCAGCTGGGCACCTTCTCCTCTCATTGCTTCTGCCCTCCCTGCCCTTTCCCCCACTTTGCCCTTCACACTTGACCTTTCAGGAAGGCGCTCAGGGAATGGAAGCATCCTCCCCAGGAGGATGCTTCAGAGAGGAGCATATGGGCTGTGGAGGCTCCCTATCTGTGTCTTGCTCCCTTCCTATTAGCTGGGTGGCCTTGGGCAACTCATGTACCTCTCGGAGCTGTTTCATCCTCAAGGATGTGGGAATAAGGAGTGTACCTTATGAGGATTAAATGAGGTGAGGTGTGTGAAGTGCCAAGCCTGTGCCTAACACATAGTAGGTGCTCAAAAACATGGTCCTTGATGAGTAGAATTCTGGGCGTCATGGTTTATGCCATTGGGAAAGGGATGCTGATGGGAGGGCAGGATACTGATGGAGTGGCAAGTCAGTGAGGGATCTGCCCCCTACCCCGCCCCCGAGATCTTGCCTAAACTGTGTACATTGTTTGCTGAGGGATGTGGTCTCCCCAGTCCCATCTGTAGACTCCAGGATGTGCACTCTCCTAGCTGAGGTGCAAAGGGCCTGTGGCTTGCAGTAGGCACATCAGTATGGTGAGTTTCCTGCCCCTCGTATTATCTCCTGCTTTTCTGTCCCCTCAGCCTTATCTTCAGGTGGGGAGTTCCTTCTTCTCCCTCCATGCTCCTCCTTGTTCTGTTCTTGGGCAGTTTTCTACCCTTAACCCCAGATTTCTGGTTCCTCTCCAGTCTCTGTTTTCCTACCCCTCTTCCTGCTTTTGCGTCTCTTAATAGCAATGAGCCTTTGTACCACACTTTGTGCAATGCCTTCGAAAGCATTTCATGTGCATTGTGAGATTTCATTCTTTTAATTCCATTAGAGCATAAAACAGAGGCCAAAGATCATATTGTCTTAAAGATGGGGAAGCCGAGGTGTCACAGGGTTGAGTGACTTCCCCACGTCATTGGACCTCTGTGCTTCCTTCTGATTCCTCCTGCCTGGGGAGACATTTCCCCATCCCCCTGCCCTTCCTCCTCCCCTTCCATCTCTGGGCAGTAGCAGGATACATGCAGAAGGCTAACGGGATGAACGTACTCGTCACATAGGGCCCGGAAAGGGGAGAATCGGTGACCTAGAGAGATGTGGCAGAAGATGGCTCCTTGTTGGGCGGCAGCCTCGTGTGTGGAGACAGAGGGATGCCAAAGATGACTTCCGGGGGGTGCGGCCTGCCTGGCAATTCTCACATCTGCTGGGGGCTCAGATGCTCCAGGCTGCAGCAATCCTGCTCTGCTCAGCCCCAGAGGCCAACCAAGAGGGGAAGGGGTGGACCAGGCAGGGCAGTGGCCAGACAGATGGGGCTTTTTATAGGATTTTCCTCTATAGGAAATGGCCCCACTGGTGGGGTGTGCTCCACCCAGCTGGCAAGTCTGCCCCTGAAACCACAGCTCTTACCCCCCTCCTGGCTTTCCCTTCTGCTGGCGAGGGTAGTGGGAGCCCCAGAGCACACGGCGGAGGGCTGTACTCTGGGTTTTCTAAGCAGATCAACTTGGAGGTCGTTTGATCCATCCCCTGCTCCAGATGGGATTCATTAAACAACCGTGGGCTAAGCCCTTGCCATGTGCGGGACACTTTTCTGCAGGAGCAAGACAGGTACGATCTTTGCCCTCATGAGACATACCTTCTAATAGGCAGACACGATAAATAGGCGAACCAGCCGGGCGTTGGTCGCGCATGCCTGTGAGCCCAGTGACTCAGGAGGCTGAGGCAGGAGGACCACAAGTTCCAGGCCAGCCTGGGCAACTCCGTGAGACCCGCTCTCAAAAAGAAAAAAGGCAAACAATTTAAGAAGGAGTGGGGCTAGAGCAGGGGGTCAGAGAGGACAGGCGAGGTGGCCCAGGAGGACTTCTTGGAGGAAGTGAGGTGGGACGCCAGCAATGCCACACCCCTGGGAAGGAGGAGAGCAGCCAGTGCAGAGACCCTGGGTGGGACGAGCTCTTCGTGCTGGGAAGAAGGTGGTGTGGCTAGGAAGTGGGACACTGCAGAGTTCTGAGCATGACAGGTGCCATCCCGTCTGCACTGTGAGGAGAGCGCTCTGGCCATGGACAGGCGCCCAGGAGGAGCCAGGATGGGACCCAAGAGGCTGCTAACACTGCCCACGTGGGTTGGGCGGGTGGCGTGGCCCAGGGACTCACAGGAGAGCAGTGCGTGGGGTCGCGTGTGGGATGCATTCTGCAGAAGGGCCTGGAGCCCTGATGGGTGGGATGCTGGCCGCGGGGACAACCGGCTCAAGCCTGGCTCCCAGGTCTCAGGCAGCGCCTGGGAGCACGTGGTTCCCTTTACTGAGACAGATGAAGTGCGCGAGAAACTCGAGGAAAGGAGGCTCTGGGATTTCTGCTTTGCTTGGTCTTCCCCACACTTCTCCTGCACCCTGGGGATTTCTTGCTGCTCTTGATCATTTCCAAATCAGCCTATTCTTGTAGTGGCTGGTCTGAGTGTCTTAACAGTCCACCTTCCAGGCTTTTCCTGCAGTAGGAACCCATGGCTCTGACGGGGGCTGTGGTATTTATGCACAGCAATATGAAAGTCCGTATCTTGTTGGTTTGTTTGGCACTAGGGATTGGAACATGCTAGGCAGGCACTCCACCCCTGGCCTACATCCCCAGCCCTAGATGCAGCAAGATCATGTAACAAATTACCCCAATCTTCACAGCTTAAAGCAGCAGCAGACATTTATGATGCAGTTTTTCTGAGGCTAGGGACTTTGGAAGGGGCATAGCTGGCCAGGTCTGGCCAGGGGCCTATCATGGGTTGGCAGTTAAGGTGGTGGCTGGGGCTCAATCTTCTGATGGCCGGACTGGGGCTGGAGGATCCTCTCCCAAACATGGTCCCCTCTCTAGGGTGCTTGGGTGTCCTTACCACGGTGGCTGGTTTCCCAAGTGTGAGCCTTTCAAGAAAGAACAAGGGCCAGCCACCATGTCTGGTATCCCGCCTTGGAGGACACATGCTATTATTTCTACATTATCTTCCTGGTGCCCAGGTCAGGCCTGTTTGGTGCAGGAGGAACTACAGAAGGGTGTTTCTCCCATGAGGTAAGAATCAATAGGGCCATCCTGGGGTCTGGCTACTGAAGGTGCCCAGAGAGAGGGCTCTGCTGGCCGGGCTCCACGAGGCCGTGGGAGTGGCGTTTTGGGTAGGGACACAGGAGTCAGTCGCCTGAGTTTGCACTCTCTGCCTGCCGCCTTCTAGCTACGTGAGCTGGGTTGTGCTGGATTAAGTGACCATTGTCATGTGGCAGGAACCTTTCTCTTCCTGGGCACCACAGGCGAAGACCAGGAAGGAGCCTGGATATTCTGTGCCCAGCTCTTTGCCACTTGGACCAGCTTGAAAGAAGATGCTAGTGGCAGGAGAGGAGGGGCCTCTGCTCTTGGCTCACAGTAGATGCCACAGGTGTCTCAACTGCACAAAGGCGGGCTGAGAGAGAGGCAGCACCTCCAGCTTCTACACTACTGCCTGGCCCATAGCGAGGGGCTGACTCAGGACGGGAATGATGGAATAAAGAATGTGAAAGATCAGCTCCTGTTTCAGAAGAGGCTGAGGCAGGAGGATCACAAGTTTGAGGCCAGCTTCAGCATCTAATCAAGACTCTCAGCAATTTAAGGAGACCCTGTCTCAAAAGATAAAGCAAAAAGGAAACTGGGGATAGAGCTCAGTGGTAAAGCACCCTTGGGTTCAATTCCTAGCACCCAAAACAATAAAATAAAATAAATAATTTTACATAGATAGGAACTAAAGCAAGTTCTGGGAGCAGCACCCCAGAAACAGTCCTGCTCCCCTCTAAGTCAGTATTCCCCAAAGGCAATTGCTGTTCTTACCCCCATCATCTGAGGTGAGTTTTGCCCGTCCTTGAACTTCATGTAAATTGAGTCATATGCATGTTGGCTTCTGTGTGTGGGCTACTTCAAGGGACATGGTGTCTGGGAGGCTCATCTCTGTTTCTGTGGGAGCCAGTGGCCTCTTCTCGGTTGCCTGTTGTTTGCCATCATGTGAGTGCACCACGGTTTATTTCCCACCCACTGTTGATTGCCATCTGGGCTCTTTCCAGCGCGGAGCTGTTACAAACAAACCTGCCTTCGACTTTCAGCCACCTGTGTCCACACGGAATCCATAAGATGTTCTCCTGCATCTTCGTGGTTCTGGGAGGTGGGTGGGGCTCGTGGTAGCTCCATGTTGCAGGCGGGGTCCAACATTGAGGCCCAGCCAGAGTGACCCACTTCACCATGGTGACTTGGGACAGTGGGCTTCTACGTGATTCTGGCTC